GAAAGGCTACACGACAGATATCTGAGATGGGTGATGGGGGTCTCCAGGAGTGTAGCCGGGTACTTGGTCAGAGAGGAGCTCCAGAGAGATAGGTTGGAAGGAAAGGCGGGGATCAGAGCGTGGAGCTTCGAAAAAAGAGCTGAGGAGGGAGGAGGAGGGGAAATTGTGAGGAGATGTAGATCGGAAATGAAAAAGAGAATCAGAGCGGGTAGAGGACTGTGCGGCTGGGAAGCGGAGAGAAAAGACTTCTTCGAGAATAGAGGATGGAGGCTAGAAGAGGTGGAAAGCAGGTGGGAATCGGGCACGATGAAAGGGGAAGAATTGGTGAACATAGAAATAAGGAGGCAGGAAAGGGAGAGATGGGAAAAGATTCTTGTTTCGGAAAGTAATAGAGATTATAAATTTATTAAAGAAAAGGGTATACCGGGATATCTGAAGAAGGGTTGGAGTGAGGATAGATGGTGTAGAATGGCTAGATTTAGGCTCGGAGATTTCCTAAAAAAAGGGGGGAGATACTGGGAGGAAAGAGAAAAAAGGTTATGTGAGGTATGCGGGCGGGAAGAGGAGACTTGGGAACATGTATGGGAAGTATGTTCAGGGATGGGGCTAGAAAAATGCTGGCAGGAGATGAGAATGAAGGGGAAGGAGAGGAATGGATAAAAGGGATAGAAATGTTGTGGGGACGTTCAAGGATGGAGTAAGGTATTCAAACAAGTTTTTAGAGTAATTTAAAAGTAAAAGTAGAAGGATACAGCGGAAACGGAAGTCAAGAGGATGAGTGTGGATAGATGAGGTATGAGAGGAATAGCGGTTTTTTCTTGGCCTCGGCCTTCTTTTTTTCCGCTGGTAAGGTGGCGAATTGTGCACCCCAAGGTATTCTGTTTTTCTATATAGTTAAATAAGGTGATACATGATTGTATATTGCTTTGATTTTTTGATCTCTGTTAACTAGGTTAAGGCTCGATGTACATAGAATATAGGATAGCTAGAATTAAGTATGTAATTTTTTGTAAGCGGAACGGGGGTCCACTATTGTACCCCTAATTTTGAGGCTAGAGTGAGCTGCATAAATATCTAGGTATATGTTTCGTCGCTGTATCGTTATTTCTGTTAACTGGATTGAGTGAGCTGCGGAAGTATCTAGGTATATGTTTCGTCACTGTACTGTTACTTATTGTTAGCTAAATAGTCTTTAGTATTAGAGCAAACGATCTCTTGACATAAGCTTCGTCACTGTATGAGAGTAATTATTGATGGTTTTTGGTCAAAGTGTTTAGTAAAGTTAGTTGTTTGGTATAAAAATAAGAACGACCCTATCTTCATTAGGAGATTATCATAAATAGTACTACGTGAGAGATATTGTTAAGCTGATTTATAGAGTGAGTGTCTGATCGAATTATTTTGTTCTTAATAAATATTGATCAATTTGTTATTTAATTATTTTTTGATTCAGCGGCCCATCCTCCACTCTCTCTACCCTGATGATAACCTCTCTTGCTCTCTTGCTCTCTTGCTCTCTCCGGTTTCAGAAACCGTGATAATAATCTTGGTGATGCCCTTTATTTGTTTCATCTTAAATTTATTTATTTATCTTTTAGTTTTAATTAATTAATAGGGGCCAATTGGACGGTGGTATTGTACTCAACAAAAGTAATCATTTAAAAATTATGTGTGATGAGTAGGGCCAAGAATTTCAGCATTTGTGATTTATTTAAATTCAAAACTTAACGAATGGTCAGTCAATTATAAGCTGCTAAATTTCTAACCCTTGTTATAATTCTAATAATGGTTAGGAAAAAAATTGTGAGCGCAATTGAATCTGACTGCAACTGTTTTAATTATTTGAAACATTGAGAGTAAAATTCTAAGAATTTTTAACTTCCCGCTAAGAAAATCGAAGATTTTTAAAAAATCAGGAAGTTATGGGTTCTACCCCGTTTTGCAAAAATCGAGGTTTCAACAGATCTCGACGTTTTGAAGCCCTAAGAAGCTTTCCTGACTATTTTCACGATAATATCCGTACGTCTGTATGTATGTGTGTGTGGGTGTGTGTGTGTATGTAAACCTCTCGTAACTTTTGAACGGCTTGACCGATTTCATCGCGGTTGGTGTCATTCGAAAGGGCTTCGCCAAACTTAGATTTCCTGTAAGTTGGAACCAATTCGAACCGGCAGATTTCGAGAAATTGCAAAAAAAATGAAAAAAAAGTGGGGAAAAAAAAGTTTTTTTTTCGTTTTTTTCAAAATTTCTCCGAATTCGCTGGACCGATCGACCTCAAAAACTAATCAGCTCTTAACCTTAACCTTAATCATGCCTGCATCGATTGCCACCTAAAGCGTGAGAATCGGTTGATGCGTTCGTGAGATATCGTTGTCGAAAAAAATCGAAAAAAGTGTCTTTTTGTATTAACTCCGAAATATTTTATCAGATCAATTTTTTTGTTCTAAACTTTCTACAGAGCTCAAAAAATCACATCGATCACCGCCAACCACGTGAAAATTGGTTGATTCATTCAAAAGTTATAGCAGTTTGAAAAATTTTAAAATCGTATTTCATCGAACTTCGATAAAACTTTTGAGCTCAAAAAGCTCAAAAGCATAGGAAAGCTATTTCTTTGAGCTCAGAGAGCTCATAATAACACAAAAATTGTATTTTTGAGCTCGAAGAGCTCAAAAACATCATCAGTGCAATTTTAAGCACCTAGGTATGGAATTGGCGGGAAGTTGCAGGGATGGCCTTCAGGGTCAACTGTTTTCCTAATTTTTTTTAGTATTTTCTTAAAACTGAATTCTCAACTAATTTTTTCTTGTATTGTCTCTTACGTTTATGTGTAGAGGAAGATTGCATTTTTAAACTTTCAAATGATATCTAGAGAAAATTTTACGACAAGCAAACATTTACAATACCAATTGAACGTTCTCGTTTTTATAAGAAATTATTATACTCACAGGCGCTAAACCAGGACACTCATAAACTGTATAATCTCCTTCATCATTATCTTCATCGCTGCCAACTTCAGAAACTGAACTTGGATCTCGAACGTTTCTTGAATAATTAGAAAAATATTATAAGCATTTTCATTACATTATAGTTTTAAAACTCTTAAGATTTATTTACTTTTCTGAAGCAATGATCTGCTGCTTTTGATGTTGAAAGTGATACATTTGAGCAGACTGTGCCAATCGTTGATCTTCGGATGGAAAAAGTTCTTTATTTGGACCTGTCACTCCATAAGCTGGATAATCGATATTTTCTGCAGCTTTTGCTCCTTGTTGAAGTCTACAATCAATAAAACGAGTATCTTACACCTTTGCAAATTCTTAAAGACATCATAATGATTATATCAACTTACCGTAACCATGTAAGACTCATGAAAACTACTGCAAACATGATTGCTGCGCTACAGCCAGAAACAATACCTAAAAGCAAAGAAATTAAAATAATTTTTCTACTTTAGACAGTGTAATAACTCAACAGTCTACGGTGCAGTAGAGGAGAGGTGCTGCGATTGTAACAAAGGGCAACTGTAACACTCAATAAAAAACTATTAGAAAAACTAAAAATTATTATTATTGTTTTTTTAACTTTTTCAAAATAGTAATTTATCTATTAGATCAAAGTTTCAGTTATTAATTTTGTTCCGATATCCAAATATTGAGAATTGTTGAAAATACACGTGAAAACTTTTTTTGTACGCTTCACAATTTTTTTAATAACTAATTGTTTTCTAATGTTTTGATGTGAGACTTGTATTAATACTTTAAGAGACATATTAAGAGTATTGTATAGTCGAATTTCATATCAATTTACTGATTTTTATTATTGTAATTAGTTTTTGATTAACAATTCAGCGTGAGCGTCGATTGTAACACTTGAAAGAGTAGCAATTGTAACACTCAGAGTCATGTATGGTATCTGCGCAAACTGGATGCGCCACAAATCTACTCAGGAATAGTGTAGTTTGTGGGACGGTCTCTTTTACCCAGATTCCGATTAAACAGATGGTGCCATTACCCAGATCCCTTTCATACATATCCCGATTACGCAGATTGTGATTACACAGATTTTCTATTGCACATATTACTTATTACTCAGATCCCTGATTACACAGAAAATCTTTAACGCAGATCCCGATGACGCAGATAATTTTAATTTTTAAATGATAAATGCAATGATAGAGCCAAGCAATAAGTGCCTGAAATTTTTGAATTGCCGCCATCAACATGTAGCGGATGAGCATGTAATCTAGCTATTAGTTGAGTTTAAGGGTTCAAGGCGTGCACGGAGCACTCTATTGAAGTATCTATAGCGTTACGAAATTTTTATTTTATTTGATTTTAACATTTATTTAAGGTGTAATTAGAAAAATAAAATTTTTGTAGATCAAAAAAATTTTTCCCAGGTTGATTTATTCAAAAAACTCAACAATTAAATACAATAAATTTGTTCGTCGGCATCAAGACACTGCTCACCAATTTACAGCTCAACATGGTCAGTACAAATGCCGATTTGATCTGATGCTTGGCAAAGGGAATAGTATATCCGAACAAAAACAGTTTCACTGTAAAAAAACCGCACCAAGTCCACGTTCATAAGACTTCGAAAAAAAATAATCGTTTTTTTACAAAAAAATATGAAATCAAAAAAACTCCAAGTACTGTTTATAACTTTATTAAAAATATGAAAAAAAGTTAGTAGCAAGTTTAAAACTCAATGAAAATCTTTTTTAACGTACTTGTCGTGCGTCATTGAGTACCCCAAATTTTTAGAACTGAAGACATTACCGTTTTCTATATGTTTGTGCCTATGAAATTAAATATCGCTCACGAAAAAATTTGGAGTACTCAATGACGTACGCCAAGTACGTTAAAAAAGATTTTCATTAAGTTTTAAACTTGCTACTAACTTTTTTTCATATTTTTAATAAAGTTATAAACAGTACTTAGAGTTTTTTTGATTTCATATTTTGTTGTAAAAAACGATTATTTTCTTTCGAAGTCTTATGAACGTGGACTTGGTGCGGTTTTTTTACAGTGAAACTGTTTTTGTTCGGATTTCACATCTTTTTGCAAAGTGCCAATGTTATTCAAATGAGTCTTATGAACGTGGACAAATCCTTAAATTATTATTATAAATATATTTTTGACCGAAACAGATAATCCCATAGTTAC